CACACTACATATATGTAGAACAATATATATATATGCAAAATAACCAGGGGAAGAGTTGAAAGATAGTTATCCTTCAACTCACCAGTGGTTGTTTTTGTCATTGATGTAAAATGCTTAATTTTTACAACAAAATCTAACTTCGAAACCTTACCTAACCTAACTTAAACTAGCATATATTTATTTTACCTAAATACTGCTATGTATAGCGCAGGTCAATTTATATTCATTTTATATTGATTCAAATCAGCTTTGTATTAGTGAGGATTTTTAAACTATGTGAAAACCAAAATTAAATCAATGAATCACGTGGATCCTTAGCATGACTTTCGTGATGCTTTGTTCATCAACCTAGAACCAAAATTTGAAGAATTCATCCATGAAATATAACAGCATCATGGTTACCACTTAGAAAAAATCTGTATTTGCAAACTTATATTGTGATTTTCAATTTGTCTGATTAATTGCTTAAATTCATTCCTTCATGATATTAAAATTCCTCCCATGGATGAACCGCATCTTGGCAGCACTGTAATTGATTTTTATTACATACCAAATTTACAAATGAAGTCTCATTTATATTTTTATAAGTTGTACCTCAGATTATGTCTAAACGAAAAAGTTATTAAAATTAATTCAATTAATTTCAGTAAAGTAAATACAAAATTATAGGCAACTAAAACTTCGCGTTTTGGCATTTGAGTCATGGCAGGAAAATATTGTATTTAGGATGCTTAGGGATTGTTTTTAATATTAATGTTTAGTTAGCACTTACATAAATCACAGGATACATGAGGTGCTATCAAAAAGTTCCAAGACTCTGATTTTCACACTCTTCGTGGATGAAATATTACAGTGGCGCAGTATACATATTATAGTTCTAAAAAGAAGACTAAGCCATCAGGCTATACGGCGTACCAGTCGAGGATTACAACCACTTTGTGATGAACTTAGGAGTTAAGTGTGTCAGCGTTGATCTTGATTAGCAACATTTGTTATCAGAATTGTCAACTGGCTGCAGCAAATTTTTTTGTTCATATGGATTTCGAGTGAGGTTCAAGCATTTTTCCAAGGGCTTTAAGTGAAACACAAAGTATTGAAGATCGAATTTGAAAGGTGAACTTAACGGTAGGGTTTTTAATAAAGAAGGCCTAACGTAGTAAGGACATAGTGGAATAAAGGTGTGTGTGAGTGAGAGGTTATTCATGATATAGTGATTACTACTTTGGCACATATTAATAAATGTGTGTGTATGTGTTGGGTTTATTCATGATATTTATATGATGAGGTACACCACACCACCCATCAGAGGTACATATGTATGCAACTTGCATACAGGCATGACAGTGATTTAGTACAGAAAGCAAGGTGTTCACGTTAGTTGCAAGGAACTTGTTGGAGCTGGCGGTCGGATGATCTGGTCCTGCACAGTGTCCTGCCATAGGAGGTTTTCAGATGTTATTTGGTTTTATGTAAGGCATCCACAAGAAGGGAGATTTTATTTAACTTGAACACAGATTGGCTCAGGTGTTAACCTGGATCGCTCAGGATCTTTGGTCTTGGGAAGCCTCCTTGTGGATGAAACGTGGGACTCTTTGTTGGAGGGACGTCCTGTGGGTGGTACAGGGAGATGTATGATGATGTAGTGATTGGTGTTAGTTGGTTGGGATGGGTTTTCTCTGGTATGTAGAGTTCATGCATGGCATATAGTTGTCTCTTTTTTTTTTAGTTTGTTCAGCCTGACAGTTACTGCATTGATCTCCTGTTGGGTACGCATATCTTCCATTCTGATTCATTCCCTCAGCCTGGTGCCTGTAATAAAGCGAAGTTCCTTGTTCTGTACACTTCATAACTGTAACACGATCTTTTTCGTTGTTAGTGACATGGATACACAAGGATATTCAAGCATAGGTCTTATCATCCTCTTGTATAGGTGCCTCTTGATATGAGAGGGGAGCCTGATTAAACCTGTATAGCTGACTACATGTGTTGTAGAGTGTAGTATCTGTTCATATATTCCTCTTCCGTATTTTAATTACTTATAAGTTTCTTAGATGAGGAGAGGTGCCATAATAATCTGTTAACAACTGTTTGTGGTTCTCCAGCTATAAATTGCGTTATCACCATGTATTATCTACCAGATATGATAAAGGCTGTTGTGCAAGTGAAATGTATACCTTAATAAAGTTCCCAAGTGTTGCATCTTGTGATTTTATAAAATATAAGTTATTAATATTTCCATACCATGAATACATTACAAGACATACCTTGCATAATGCAGTAGTCTCACCATAGTGCTGCAATATTCCAATGTTGTTTAAAGTAAAGTTGCCAATAATTGCAATTTGTCTTTATTACATATTCTTATATTAACTTTTACATGAATGAGAAAGCCTGGGCATGAGAAGAACCTACCTAGCATAGACCAGTAGGTCTTCTGTGGTGCTCATCCATTATTTCGTTTCGTTCTGCAAAACTTAAGGAAAAAATGGTGCCAAATGTCCCTAAATGTACTCAGAGAGAGTGACATCACTCCTGCTACTCCCCTCCACCCTGCCAACACCTCTAAATAGCTACGTCACTGTTTTATATATTTCTGGTCAGTATGTAGGCAATTTAGGTTGGTGAGGTGGTTTGGACATGTAGAGAGAATGGAGCAAAACAGAATGAGTTCGAGAGTGTATAAATCTGTAGTGGAGGGAAGGAGGGTTCGGGGTCGGCCTAGGAAGGATTGGAGGGAGGGGGTAAAGGTTTTGTTTGCGAGGGGCTTGGACTTCCAGCAAGCGCATTTGATAGGAGTGAATGGAGACAAATGGGTTTTAATACTTAAAGTGCTGTTGGAGTTTGAGCAAAGTAACATTTATGAAGGGATTCAGGGAAACCGGCAGGCCGGACTTGAGTCCTGGAGATGGGAAGTACAGTGCCTGCACTCTGAAGGAGGGGTGTTAATGTTGCAGTTTTATAATTATAGTGTAAAGCATCCCTCTGACAAGACAGTGATGGAGTGAATGATGATGGAAGTTTTTCTTTTTCGGGCCACCCTGCCTTGGTGGGAATCGGCCGATGTGTTAATAAATATTTTTTCCGTATAAAACATCTCCAGTGTCATAAATCGATGAACATTTGTTTAAACACAATGAAAAAGTCCTAATTCCTCTTAGTCACTATATATCTGCATTACTAATCCTAAGTATCAACTCAGAAAATTACTAATTGGTGGATCCGGAGTTTACCTGGAGAGAGTTCCGGGGGTCAACGCCCCCGCGGCCCGGTCTGTGACCAGGCCTCATGGTGGATCAGAGCCTGATTAAGCACGCTGTTACTGCCGGCTGCACGCAATCCAACGTACGAGCCACAGCCCGGCTGGTCAGGTACCGACTTTAGATGCCCAGCCCTTCTAGGGCAGGGTAGGTGCCTGAGCCAGAGCATGAAGCTCACAAGATTGCCATTTCCATTAGGCCCCTTGGGTCGGGGATGGCAGACCAGAGAGGCCTATTTCTCCCTACGAGCCCTGTGAGGGCGGGGAATGCGGTTAGGCTCCTCCCATGGCAGACATTAGTCTGAGATACTCCCAAGAAAGGAAGCCAAAGCCGGGCCACCACTTGGAAAAGGCCCGGGCCGGGAGAGTTCCGGGGAATCAAGAAGAAGAAGAAGAATAGGTATTTTGTGACAGTGGTACTGAATGTGAAGGGAGCGAGTATGAAGATGAAGATGAAAGTACTACTCCACCAACCCGAAAACACAACAAAAGTAAAGTTGCAACCAATTTGGTGACATTCACAAAAGAATCAACGAGTAAAGCCGCCAAGATATGCAAACAGTTGTCATTTGATGACAGTGACATTCCTACACCAAGTCGAGCAGCAATTTACAAGTCAATATACAAAGAGGCTGCTAAACTGAAAGAGGAAATGACTGAAAAAATACAAATGGAAGAATGGTCTTTACATTTCGATGGAAAGTGCATTGAGGAAAATGAGTACCAGGTAATAGTACTTAAAAATGAAAGAACCGAAGAAAACTGGATGCACTGCATTTGAAAGATGGCGAGGCTGAAACTATCGCTGAAGGAAAGACAAAAGTTTTGATGAATACAACTTATGGAATGCAATAAAGATGATCATTGCTGATACAACAAACATTAACACAGGGAAATAGAGTGGAGCTGTTGTTAAACTGCAACGAATGTTCTCAAAGAAAGGGATTAGCAAACCACAGTTTATCAGTTGTCAGCATCACGTTCTGGACAGGCTTCTCCGCTTGGTAATGGATAAAAATCTTGGTGCTAAAACCAGTTCTCCAAACATCAAATACCCATTTGTATCCCAAGTACTGAAGAATTATGAGGAACTAAAGGCACAGTTTGTTAGTGGAACAGAAGAAATCCTCCATAAATCAAGATGGAGAGATGATCTAACACGAGTGTTTAGATTCTTTGAAGAAAGAGGGCACTTTCGTTTGATTAACTTTCAGAAAATTCCAAACATCAGCTATACAAGGTGGAATTCAAGAGCCATTCTAGCTATTCTCTCATTCATTCTTATACCTATAAGACGGAAGACTTTGGAGAAGATATACAGATTCATTTCATACACCTGGACAGATTATTGGTTTATTGGTCAGATGTACTATGAAAATGACTTCAAAAAATTGTCAGGAAATATTAAAACCTTACAAAAAAGCACTGAACTCATTGAAAAAATCACTGGCAACAGGAGCCGTCCGCACTCAATATACCAAGAAGTAATCAGTGTACTGAACGTGCAATCAAAGTTATGCAGGAACTGTATGCTGCTGCAGAAACAAAAACAAACCGCAACTTCGGTTTATTTTAAGCAATAAGTAGTAATATATGTACAAACATGATATCAATGATACTTTAATCTGCTTAATTTATTACTAATATCACTTGCAATATGCATTCAAGTTATTTGTTTTTGTTACTTTTTTTTTCATTTAGGGGTGACATTTTTTAAAAAGATATTGAAATGAAAGGTCATTGCTTTAAGACAAAAGTTCATCTGATTAAGGTACAGGAATATTACGTTGTAAAAATGTTATAACCCTAGTAGGCATACATTAGACGTTTAGAAACATATCAAACATTAGGGTGGCCCGTGGCCTCGTAGGGAAAGCTCTCGCTTCACACGCAGAGTCCGGGTTTGATTCCCGACAGGGATGGAAATATTGGGCGTGTTTCCTTACACCTGTTGACCATGTTCACTCATCAGCATAATTGGTACTTGGGTAATAGTACATTGGTGTGGGTTGCATCCTGGGACAAAATTGACCTAATTTGCCCGAAATGCTCTGCATAACAAGCGGCTTTCTATGTAGTAGTATGTCATTGACGTCAACTAGGCCTGTATACCTTGTACATGTACCTGTAGAAATAAAGATATTGTTATATTATATTATTATGTATATAAACAAACATATAAAGGAAGGCTTCGTAATGCTGGTGAGGGGTTCTTGCTCCCCCAAAAATTTGACTTATTCTTCCCTGCCTTTGATCGACCCTGATTACTTTCCATTCCTATGGTGCTGCATGAACTCTAAGGGTTTAGGGCTTTCTCTAAATAAAATAATAAATGTGCAAATCCGCATGTTAATATACAAATTTATGTGTTTGAAAAGAACCAGACCACAGGTTTCAAGCTCTATCATTTCATTTAATGTATTTTCCAGTATACACAATATTCTGCATCTTACAGTGTATATATTCTGCTTTTACTATGCAAAATTGTTCAAGCAAAGAGAATCCTATTAAAGCAATTTATTGATTCATTTTGTACCTGATACTCTCAGTTTGAATATTGGACATAACAGGAGACCACTTTTAGTTTGAACATTGGACATAACAGGAGACCACTTTTAGTTTGAACATTAGACATAACAGGAGACACTATTTAACTTAGCATCAGAGACCACTTTTAGTTTGAACATTAGACATAACAGGAGACCACTAATTTTATACGAAAATTAACTGTGCTGCTGTATTTAATCTGCTAAATTAATGATCGCCATTATAATGTATCTTAATCCTTACAAAACAATACAGGGTCATCCTAAATTATTTAACATGAATAAAATAAAGATTTTTGTGAAGTGACTATTGAACTTCGAGAACTTAGAGCAAACTATTTTGAATTCTGGGATTGTTTGTTATAATGATATTTAGCAATATAGGTAACTCAGCAAGCTGGATAGCACAAAGTTCTTCACTACAGTAATATTTATATATTAATGTGTCCTTGGATAACTGTGGTGGCGGCGCCAGCAATGCTCACTCGTTCATTATCCAATATTTTCACCTTCACTTCACCGCCACGTTCAGAACATTGCCAAACTGTGATAAAAGAAAGTTTGATTTTACTTTCAATATACCATTAATATATTTCATACGTTTTGCATATTATAATTTCTGTTAATTCATTATGAGTTCTCTTGCTAAAGGAAAAATGTAATAAAGAGATTTATTGCTCAACTTCTTTTTTTCAGTGAAAATTATGAGCATATAATCAAGTTATAATTTACTCAGAACAAGTGCTTAAGAAAATAATTTATACATAGTGTGAGAAAAAGAGTAAATGATGGAAAATGAGTTAATAATAAGAGAGATACTCACAGTTGAGCTCCTTCCTTCCCAGTTGACCAGCCCAGTATGGTGCCAGCACAGTGTGGGCGGAACCTGTCAACACAGTCACCAGCATAACAGATGCTTCAACGTAATTCTACAAGAGATCACTTGAAATGTTTTGCAGAGCAGATGACACTCACTCTTCTCACAATAACAGTTGTTCATATGCTGTGTTGAATTACTTACGTTGCTGGCAATATATATTAACTTTTTGCCTCTGTTTTCATAAGATTATTTTGCCAGTCAAAGGTAAACCAGTATAATAAATAAAATCTGATTATGTAACAACAGAAACTTTGAAATGTTTAAATTCCGTTTATAGTTATTTTATTTAGGTAATTTTTGTAATTTCATTCACATATATTATTAAATAATAAGCATTACTTTACTATTCTTAAATATTAATGATAGAGGTGAGATTAAATTTATCCTGATAAGGGAAAAAAAAAAACATTATTATAGTTGTATCAAACAATGAAAAAAGTGTTATCATAACGAACAAGTTTGTATCATTTAACATCAGTTTGCTTAGATCAATATTTTCTTACACGTGGCCATTTATGTCACACGATGCAACACTCATGGTGCTATAATTTTCTTAACAGTAATTTTACAAGAGTAGCTTTTTGTCACATAGATAATGAAAGAGACTCGATGCAAGCGCCGCCCCTCAGGGTATGTACGACGTGTACTGACGTGGTGAACGGTCTTGGATGGGAGAGTTTATTTGGAGGAATCGTAATGTGACGCTGAGTAATCCAGTGATATACCTTTCTATAACAATCACAGTATCTGAACACTCCTCTAAATACTATACCTCTCATGTCTTACTTGTATAATCAGTCAGGGCAATGAAAGTGAAGTGAAAGAAAATATACAGATTATAGATGGCGCATCTTCCTTTGTCCCAACTGGATGAACTTCTATACACTCAATTATTTCTAGTTGTTCCATCCCTAATATCACCTCAGTGAAAACAGGTGATCTTTGATATTTTCGGACGCCTGGGCATTATTTTTTATGTATTTGTAACGGACAACGGCTGTAGAACATAATACAATTTCAAGGTAAGTTGTGTGATCACTTACTGTAGTGTAATTTTAAAGATCGCTGCTATATTATTAAACCTCACTTAACATTAAATTATAACATCCTCTCTTCTGTTCATCAAGAATGAACCTATACAGTCCACCTTTGTTTACTCAAGTTAAATGCAGAGCATAATTTATTACACTTATTAAGTGATTATCTTCAGTTAGAGGCCTAACTTGTGAAAATTCTTCTGGAGACGCAATTTTGAGGGTAGAGGCACTAAGAAAGGATGTAGCAGCCATTAGTCAATTCTGGGGTTGAGTTGATCCTAGTATTTGTCTATTATTTCCTACTGTAACATTGTAACTATTTTTTTTTTATATATCTGTCGTTTTTAGTGTAGCAGAATGGAACTCTGAAATACACAAAATGCATAATAAATTTCCTTGTCAGAAGTAAAAATAATTTGTTAGACGTATAACTTGTTTATTGCTAATTTATCAAGAAGAACTAGGAGTTGTAGTTCAACACTCATAAGAAACCCATAAATTAATTTTCAATTCTTTCATACATTTTGAAGAATCACGTAGAATTCATACAAACTCAATTGTAAAGAAATCTGAATAGAGATTTCTTCGCCATCACTACGACAAGGTTCTAGATGCACTAGAAGACAAAAAAATACAGATGTAATATATACAGACTTTGCAAAAGCCTTCAACAAGTGTGACCATGGCGTAATAGCGCACAAAATGCGTCCTAAAGGAATAACAGGAAAAGTTGGTAGATGGATCTATAATTTCCTCACAAACAGAACACAGAGAGTAGTAGTCAACAGAGTAAAGTCTGAGGCGGCTACGGTGAAAAGCTCTGTTCCACAAGGCACAGTACTCGCTCCCATCTTGTTCCTCATCCTCATATCCGACATAGACAAGGATGTCAGCCACAGCACCGTGTCTTCCTTTGCAGATGACACCCGAATCTGCATGACAGTGTCTTCCATTGCAGACACTGCAAGGCTCCAGGCTGACATCAACCAAATCTTTCAGTGGGATGCAGAAAACAATATGAAGTTCAACGATGAGAAATTTTAATTACTCCGATATGGTAAACATGAAGAAATTAAAACTTCATCAGAGTACAAAACAAATTCTGGCCACAAAATAGAGCGAAAAACCAACGTAAAAAGACCTGGGAGTGATCATGTCAGAGGATCTCACCTTCAAGGACCATAACATTGTATCAATTGCATCTGCTAGAAAAATGACAGGATGGATATTGAGAACCTTCAAAACCAGGGATGCCAACCCATGATGACACTCTTCAGGTAGCTTGTTCTATCTAGGCTGGAATATTGCTGCACACTAATAGCACCTTTCAAGGCAGGTGAAATTGTTGATCTAGAAAATGTACAGAAAACCTTCACGGCGCGCATAACGGAGATAAAACACCTCAATTACTGGGAGCGCTTGAAGTTCCTGAACCTGTACTCCCTGGAACGCAGGCGGGAGAGATACATGATCATATACACCTGGAAATCCTAGAGGGACTAGTACCGAACTTGCACACAAAAATCACCCACAACGAAAGCAAAAGACTCGGCAGACGATGCAACATCCCCCCAATGAAAAGCAGGGGTGTCACTAGCACGTTAAGAGACAATACAATAAGTAAGTGTCAAGGGTCCGAGACTGTTCAACTGCCTTCCGGCATACATAAGGGAGATTACCAATAGATCCTTAGATCCTTGGCTGTCTTAAAGCAGGCACTGGACAAACACCTAAAGTCGGTACCTGACCAGCCTGGCTGTGGCTCATACGTTGGATTGCGTGCAGCCAGCAGTAACAGTCTGGTTGATCAGGCTCTGATCCACCAGGAGGCCTGGTCACAGACTGGACCGCGGGGGCGTTGACCCCCGGAACTCTCTCTCCAGGTAAACTCCAGGTAAACAAACCTCATCTGTCCTGTGAAGTTTACCTGGAGAGGGTTTCTGGGGTCCTGTGAAGTTTACCTGGAGAGGGTTTCCGGGGTCCTGTGAAGTTTTCCTGGAGAGGGTTTCCGGGGTCCTGTGAAGTTTACCTGGAGAGGGTTTCCGGGTTCCTGTGAAGTTTACCTGGAGAGGGTCTCCAGGGTCCTGTGAAGTTTACCTGAAGAGGGTTTCCGGGTTCCTGTGAAGTTTACCTGGAGAGGGTTTCCAGGGTCAACGTCACCGCGGCCCGGTTTGAGCCAAGCCTCGTGCTTGATTAGGGTCTGATCAACCAGGCTGTTACTGCTGGCTGCAGGTAAACCGACGTACGAAACACAGCCCGGCTGATCAGGTACTGACTTTAGCTGCCTGTCCAGCGCCTTTTTAAAGACAGGGGTCTTTTGGTAATCCTCTTTATGTATGCTGGGAGGCATTTGAACAGTCTTGGGCCCTTGACACTTACTGTGTTGTCTCTTAGTATACTCGTGGCACCACATGCATCATTCTCGTCTGCATTTCAGGGAATACAAATAAAAGAACTTCTACCATTACCAGTAATTTAGGTGCTTTATCGTACTTATGTGTGCCGTGAAAGTTCTCTATACAGTCTTAAGGTCAGTACTTTCGCCTAGAGAAAACAAGTGATTTGAAGAGAATCATAATGGATTTGGTGTCCCTAGATATGAAGGTTCTCATTATCCATCCTCTCATTTTTCTAGCAGATGAGGTAGAATCATCATCGTGGTCTTTGAAGGTGAGATCCTCAGACATTATCACTCTCAGGTCCTTCACTTTAGTTTTACACTCTATTTTGTGGTTAGAATTTGTTTTATACCCTGATACAGTTTTAATTTCAAGTTGTCCTTATCTAAGTAGTTGAAATTTCTCTTCATTGAACTTCATATTATTTTGAGTGGCCCATTTGAAGATTTGGTTGATGTCCGCATGGAGTCTTGCGGTGTCTTCGATGGAGGTCACTGTCATGGTAATCTGGGTGTCATCCGCAAAGAAAGACACAGAGCTATGGCTTACATCTCTGTCTATGTCAGATATGAGGATGAGGAACAGGATTGGAGCGAGTACTATGCCTTGTGGAACAGAGCTTTTTGTGTTATATTTCTTAGGAAGTCATAGATCCATCTACCAACTTTTCCTGTTACTCCTTTGACACGCATTTTGTTGCGTTATTGCACCATGGTCGCACATGTTGAAGGCTTATGCAAAGTCTGAGTATAATTCATAAGCATTTTGTGTATCTTCTAAAGCATCCAGGACCTTGTTATAGTGGTCCAATAGCTGGGTCAGGCAGGAGCGACCTGCTCTAAACCCGGGTTGCCCTGGGTTGTGTAAGTGATGGGTATCTAGGTGGTTGGCGATCTTGCTTCTTAGAACCCTTTCAAAGATTCTTTTGATATGGAATGTTAGCGCTATCGATCTGTAGTTATTTGCTGCCACTTTTGCAAAGTGGGGCTATGTCTGTTGTTTTAAGTGACTGAGATGACTCCTGTGTCCATGATCCCTCTCCATAGAATACTGAAGGGGCTTCTTGCAGTTCTTGATGAACACGGAGTTCCACGAGTCCGGGCATGGAGCAGAGTGAATGGGAATGTCATTTATCGCCTTTTCGAAGTCTTTTGGTGTTGGGATATCAGACATTTTTGAAATGACCAAATTTTGAGTCTCGGTCATTAAAAAATTCATTTAGATTATCGACCCCTAGTCTGGTTAACGGCTCACTGACTCGTACTGGGATTTTAGAATCTTATTTCTTTACTGTCATCTGTGTAAGTCCCATCTCGTCTAAGCAGGACTCCAATACTGGATGCTGTTTTCGCTTTATATTTTGCATAAGAGAAGAATTACTTTGAGTTTCTTACAGTTTCATTGATGGCTTTAAGTTCCTCCTGAGATTCTTGTCTCCAGTAAGAGTCCCTAAGCTGAAGTTCGATATTTGCTATTTCTCTGACCAGTTCCTCCCTTCGTATTTCAGATAAACTGGCCCCTCTCAGCAGCTCAGACACTTCACAATTGCCTGTATAGGGAGCGTATCTCT